TGTGGGTGTCTCTGCCTCGGTTGGAAAGGAGCAGTTCTCTACACTCTACGATCAGCAACTCCGCGAGGGAAGACGAGGACAGACTCGCAAGAAGCTCAAGCAAAGTCACGTCGAGAAGCTGGGCGTACTCTGCTACGACCTGGACAACTTCTCTCGGCGAGTGCATAGTTCGCATGATGTGCTCCGAATGATGGATGACTCGGCGCGTGATTTTCTGCGGGCAGGGTGGACAGCATGGTTTCAAGGCCTCGAATTAGATCGCAGGCTTGAGCAGATCATTGCCCAGGCGCAGCTGGTGCAGGATTTGTATTCGCAGCGCCGCAAGGAGGAATGGCAGCAGTGGTCCGAGGATGCTTTCAAAAATGGTGGGCGTGATGCGCACCGTTTCACCCGACTTCGTGCCCTGCAGCAAGTGTTGCAAGCCTCTGACCACTCTACGCCAGCGCAGCTGGCGGACCACGAGCTAGAGAAGTGGCAGCAGATTTGGAGTCTCCATGGCGCTGGCGAGCTTCCTCGTCCTGCTGATGCGGATGTGTGGGGGCACCTGCCAGAGCTCACGGGGGCCCAGATTCGGGCCACCATCATGTCTTTTGCCCGTCGCACAGGACGTGGGCAGATGCGTATTCTTCCTCGGCATTTTTGGTTTGTATGCGATGAAGGGCTACAAGCCATGGCCGAGATGTTCATGGCCTGCGAGAAGCGGCTGATCTGGCCGCAGGACCTTTTGTTCACGGAGTTGTGTATGCTTCCGAAGCCGAGCGGAGGCACACGACTCATTGCTCTCCTCAACACAATGTTGAGGATATGGGGCCGTGCTCGTCGACATCTAAGCACGGCCTGGGAAAAAGCTCACAGACACCCCGCATTCTGGGGGACGGGAGCTGGACGTTCCTCATCGGACTGTGCGTTCCACTTCAACTTGCAGGCCGAATCGGCACACGCACGCAAGTTGCATGTCGTTACAGTATTCCTGGACATGTTCAAGTGCTATGAGACCATATTATGGAGCATGATACTTCGAGAAGCTAGAGCACTAGATTTCCCTCTTAGATTGATCTGGATGGTGCTACAAACTTATCGTGTTCCACGGACCATACGTGCATATGGTAATATTAGCTCGATGTATGTGGCCCGTCAGGGCATTCTGGCTGGCTGTACACATGCTACCACTATACTTATGGTTGTTCTGCACCGGGTGGTCTCTAACCAGTACAATAGATATCCAGATATCACAGCACGCGTGCTTATGGACGACTTTACCATGCAGTGGCAAGGCCCTGGCCCCAGAGGAGCAGATATACTGCACACGTGCGTGCGCAACTTCGGTGGTGACGTGAGAGAGTTAGGCCTCATCCTCCAGAACTCTAAGTCGGGATTCGTTGCTACCACGGTTCGTGCTCGACATCGGTTTTCGTCGGGGGTCAAGTGCATGAAACTCAAGCCCAAGCACCACATGCGCAACTTAGGTCACGAGCTGCACGGGGTCAAAGCACGTCGTATCCAAGAGCAAGCACGCATGGCTAAGCTTAAGGAGAGGGTCGGAAAGATACGCACGTTGGAGCGAGCTGTGCACGAGCGGCTTGGGGTGTTGTGGCGCACTGGGTTGTTACCTGCAGTGGGGCACGGCACGGATGTGAGTGGTACGTCGGACACTGTGCTCAAGCAGTTGCGCACTTTCGCGGGCGGTATGATTGGAGCTGCCCGTAATGCATCACTCACGCTCTACCTTGCTACTCAAAGGGATGACAGATTCGACCCTGTTTTTGATTGTACTATTCTTGTTGTCAAAAGATACCATAGCTTTATATGGGACAGCAGAGTGTCCTTAGCTGAGCTGCATCACACATGGCAGTATGTATCCGACAAGTTCCAAGATGCCAAGCCGACTTGGGCCATGGCACGAGGACCGATGACGACAGTATGGCTAACATTGATTCGTATCGGATGGCAGTTCAGCGGACCCGCTCTTTTTACGGACGACCTTGGACAACAATATTCGCTACTGTATGTTGCTCCCAGAGATCTGGAGAAGCGTCTGGTGGAATCTATTCATCGGCTCCAGGTGGGACGTATCCTTCACCATCTACCAGAGCGGATCGGCGACGAGAAGATTTGGCGACGGGCCATGAGACTGGCGTTGTTTTCTGTCAAAGCTGGACCAATGAGGGGAGCACTCAGGAAGTTGTGGGCTGGAGGTCTTTTGTGTCCCGACAGGTCAGTGGACCTTGGGGTCGGGGCGTCTCGTGAATGCCCATATTGCGGTGCTCCCAAAGGTACTCTCTCGCATCAGTGGAACGTTTGCCCTGCTACATTGCAGCTCTCAGATGCATGCCCCGAGGTCATTCCCGAGGACGTAGTTGAGTTCCGCGAAGTCAGGTTGAAACTTGTGGAGGAGAACATGAATGACCCCGATACTTTTGACCTGACATATGGACTTCCGACGGAGCCTTTGCAACCCCGTCTTCCAGATGAGACCCCAGAGATATTGTCATGGGGTGATGCTGATGGTCTCTGGTCTTCTATCACTTATTGCGACGCTTCGGGAATGCACATCAGTCATCCTACTCTGGGCCGCGTCGGATGGGCCATTGTTCAGATATGTCCGTCGACGGGGATCCCAGTTCGAGCTCAGTATGGGGGCCTCCCCGGCCGCGACCAAACGGCGCCTCGGGGAGAACGCTACGCGGGATACCGAGCGTTGATGATGATGGAACGGCCAGGTTTAATTGTCAGTGATCACCTGTCGTTCGTACGTGAAGCTGACAAATGGAGCCCAGAACTCGAAGCTAGCGGCTCGCTGCACGCCGAGGTCTGGCGCAAGATCTTCCATCTCTGCCGTCATGACCAGCAGCGCTCTGAATTTGTCTGGGTGCCTTCCCACAAAGATATTCAGAATTTCATCGAGGCAGGTGGATCACTCGCCCATGCCCATGGGAACGCATGGGCCGACTTCTTTGCATATGCTGGAGCTATGGGCGTGAAGGTCGCGGACACGCTGGCAGAACATCACAAGCAGATGATCGCCCAGTCCAAGAAGATCGCCCAGTTCACGGCGTACATGGCATCCCGCACGGTCAGGATGTTCAAGGAGGTGGGGGAGCCCCTGGTTAAGAAAAGCAAGTTAGATCAGGCCCCCAAGCTCTCCCTCACCGAACATGAGTTTGTTCAGGACGGTGCCCAAGTGAGATGTTCTAAGTGCCTCAGGATCGCCTCCACCCCTGTGAGCTACAGGACCCTTTTTAACTCGCATTGTCTTTGGGCCCCAAAAATCGGTAGAGGACATAAACTCATTCGTTGGGGCCCCGCTGGAATCTGTGAACTCTGTGGGCGCTATAGTTTGCAGGTTGACAAGTATATTAAAAAGCTCCGTGAGGATTGTCTTGGGCCGCCAGTCAATAAAGCCACTCGTGCTAGCGTTCGCTCCCAGGTTAAAGCCCTGTCAGCAGGACGTGTGCCCAGGACGCGGCGGCCCATCCTCCTCGGGGCTGATGCTGCAGCGGGTCCAGGCAGCCAAGAGGCCGCCCCATCCAGCTCAGCTGCGCCCTCTCGCGTCGCTGCCGCCCTCCGACCGGAGGAGACGGCGGCTGTGGGGAGGGGCGGGGTGGAGGACGGGGGTGGGACTGATTCGGGATCATCCGATTAGTCGAATCCTTCTGCTGCTGGACCTTCCAGCCTAGCCTGGGGCCTCCCCCCACCCGTGGGTCTTTGCCCCAGGCTGCCGCCTGCCGCCCCCTGTCGTCTGGACTGGGCCTTGTGGTGGCCTAGGCTTCACTGTTTGTCAGCCCGTTTGGCTGATCTCGGATCGACCTATGGGTTGATCTCCGCGTGGGGCCTCGAGGTTCTTGAGGCCCTCTCTTTTCAATTCGGCCCTCTTCCGTTCCTTTGGGTTCGGTTGGGGCTCCCGACTTGGACAACAGCTGTCGCCATTTGTGCCCCCCTCACTGTCCTACGTGGCCCAGTTGCTACCCTCAGTGGCCCCATAGTTGCCTTCTGTGGCCCCGCATTATCTGCACTTCGTGGACCCAGCTCGTTCGCGCTCTTAGTGGCCCCATACGCATTCCCTTCGTGTCCCCGCTGTCGCCCTTCGTGGCCTACTTCGTGCACTTCGTGGCCCTGCTGTCGTTCTCTCTCGCTCTCGCTTTTGCTCGTCGTCGCCGTCGTCGTCGTCGTCGCCGTCGTCGTCGTCGCCGTCGTCGTCGTCGTCGTCGTCGTCGTCGTCGTCGGTCCCCTGTCCGTCCCTCTTGGGGTCGGGTCGACGGTCCGCGGCTGCCCCGCCGATCAGCGCTGCCGCTGGCCAGGCCGACGGTCCGCGGCCGCCCCGCCGCTTGCCGGGGCCCGGCCTGCAGGGAAGAAAGGTCTACCCCCCAAAAGGGGTTCGATCGAAGACGAAGAGGGCGGGTATCGAGGGTTTGGGAAATACGCCTTATTGGACACTCGAGCATACAAGGGCGAACAGTCTTAACATTATTGTTGTTGTTGCTGCTGTTGTGATTGTGGTTGTTGTTGCTGTTGTTGTTGCTGCTGTTGTGATTGTTGTTGTTGTTGTTGCTGCTGCTGCTGCTGTTGTTGTTGTGGTTGTTGTTGTTGTTGTTGTTGTTGTTGTTGTTGTGGTTGTTGTTGTTGTTGTTGTTATCGTTGCTGTTGTTGTTGTTGTTGTTTTTTTCGTTGCTGTTGTTATTGTTGCTGTTGTTGCTGGCTCCTGCTGTTGCTGGCTGCTGCTGCTGTTCGTGTCGGGCGCCCAGCCGGGCCTGTTCTCGGGCCCCCGGGGGGGCCCGCAGAGGTCGGCCCGCTGGGCGGAGCGCGGGCCCCGCGGCGACGCGGGGCCGATCGGGCTCCCAGGCCCACGTCGCGGGGCAAAGCATGGCGCCGGGGGCTGGGCTACAGTGGCGATGCATGCCAAGAAACACCCTGTTTGCCTCCAGGGTGCCCTAGGTTTCTCGGGTTTGGATGGTTTTGCGGTGGAAAGCGCGACAAGCCCACACCAAAAGTCAATGGACGCCCTGGGGTCTCAGGGTTGGATGTCTTGTGGAAGGTTTCTTGTGGTCGAGCCCCCAGTGTACTTTGTAGGAGCTGTTTTTTTTGGAAGGTGGATCTGCCTTCCACAGACACTGTTCTACAGTAGTCGTTCTTGGAAGGCGGATTTGCCTTTCCAAAAACAGCGCTTACCCAAAAACGTGTCGCTGGGGGCCTGGGGAGGCCAGTCGGCGCGGGCGCGGCCGGGCGAGGTGAGGTGCTGCCCGTGGGCCCGTTCTGCCCGTTCGTGTCGGGCTCGTTCCTAAACTTGTCGGGCGGGGCGGAGCCAGAGCGCAGGAGGCACATGGAGAGCGTGGTCGCTCGCGTGGACGGGCTGGCGCAGTCGGAGCGCTTCGACGCAGCAGAGCACCTGGAGCTGGGCCGGCACCTGCGCGAGGCGGACGCGCAGTGGCGCGGCAACCTGCTGCGGATGCGGCACGCAGACGACTTCCAGACCCGGGAGCTCTATTCGGCGGCGAGCGAGGGGGGGAAGCGAGAAGGAGAGGGCCTTCTCAGAAGGCGGCGGGACTTCTCAGAAGCCCTTGCGCCCTCTTCTAAGAAGCTTTCTTTGTCTTCGGGAAGGCTGAGGCAGAATCTCAGGAGGCCAGGTGACTCCCGAGCCTTCTGAGAAGGCCCGCCCCTTCTCACTTCCCCCTCCGGCTCGCCGCCGATCTGTGAGTTCACCGAGGCCCACCTCAGGCACTTGGGCATCAGCATCGCGCAAGTGGAGGGCTTCGCGGACTGGCAGGTCGGCGTGCTCCAGTCGCTTGGGAGTGGCCAGCCGCCGCCGCCGCCGCCCGCGGACCCTGCCTCGGAGGAGGCGCGGCACCTGCAGGGCGTGCTCGAGTCCTGCCGGCTGGGTGGGCCTCAGGCGATGCTGTTCGACGCGTCCCCGCGCGCGGGTGCGTCCCAGGTTGCCCAGAGTCCCGTGGTGCAGGAAGAGCTCGCACGTCTGGAGGCCGACCACCGTGCCCTGATTGATATGGGGCAGTGCTACGGCACCTTCGACGCGGCTGGGAAGAAGATCTTTCTCGACCAGGTCTGAACAGTGGGATCTGACCCCAGCCCTCACAATAATGGATTTTACATGTCGGCGTTTTGAAATTCTGGCGAATGTGCCTAAGTGTAGGCGTCCTGTAAGCGAGGCCATTGCCAGTTGCCGCAGGGGGGTGGCCCGCGCGCGCGGCCTAGTTGGTCTAAAGTTCCTCATGTGGGGGGCGGGGGTCCGCTTTCGTGCGTTCAAGGTCGGCTCGATACAAGACCGGTGGAAGGTCTACCTCGCGCGCTTCCGCCTGAACGGCGAGGCCGACTCTGCTCCCGGCTACGTGGGCGACGCGAAGAAGCAGATCAAGAGGCTCGGCCTCTCCGCAGAGTTGGTGGAGAGCCTCTTGGCCAGCGCCCACGGCGCCCTGCGGGAAGATGCAGACAGAAGCTGAGCTGCCCAGCGCTCATGCAAAGTTAGAGCGGCCGCGAGCCCACCTTCCAGTTACGCGTCTGGTAGCTGGTGCTCGTCTTCCGCTGCGCGCCGCATCTCGATACTCGCGGGTCTGAGCGAGGCACACGTCGGTGGTCGACGTTCGCGCAGACGTTCGCGCAGAGTGGGGGGGACGAGCCATTTTGAAATCTATGTCGGATCGCCGCTGCACGACTTTGTGCCAGTTTGCGGTGCGGCAAAGGCGTCCTCGCTACGGTCAAAACGTTGCAAGCAGGGCCACTTGTACCACCACCCACCAAACCACCCCAACCCAATCCGAAGGCCTCAATCTGCCCTCCATTTCCAGTGGGGGGGAGTCGGGGAACATGGACAAAAACACATGTGGAACCCGTACCCCCTCCCAACCCGAAGCGCGGGTCTTCGGGTTGGGTTGGAGTGGTCTGGTAGGCAGTCATTGTAGGTTCGGAAGCGGCTCGGGCTCACTCGGGTTCTTCCTGAGCTTTTTCCGCAGACGCTCCTCGCAGAACTGCGCGCAAAGGGGGCCAGTCAGGAGGGAAAGAAACACACAGTCACAATTTATCGTCGATCCCGTAGGGAAATATGGGAAAATATGGGAAGCGGGGGGGAAGACGAAAACCCAGAAAACGCAGGAAAATATGGGGAATCCTGTCATTTGTGTTTATTTGTTTGTGTGTACCTGGGCCCCTTCAGTCAGGGACGTCGCTTCTCCTGGAGGCCGCAGGGCGGGAGCCACGGCGGGGACCCCACAGGCAAACGAGCACGCGGAGCTACGAAGCAGCGCTGCCTCTGGTGGTATGACCTCGAGAGGCTCTCGGAGCAGTTCTCGCGGCGATCTCGTCTTCCAAATCCCTTATGAATCGTCCCCCGGGTCCGGTTTTTTCAGGCGCCTTTTTTGTTACTGGGGGGGGGGGCCGTTTATTAGGGCGCTTTCTTTGGATTGGAGCTTAGGGGGTCCTGTTTATTGCGGCGCCCCATCGAAGAGGGGGGTCCGGTATACTAGGTCGCATTTGGAGGGGGGTCTGGTTTTTTAGGGGGTGGTCGATTAATGAGGGATTTGGAGTAGGCACTCTTGGGTTTTATTGGGCTTCTCCTGGGTCTTGGGTAGGTCTCTGGGGTCTCGGATGGTTGCTCTGTGGCCGCCGTCCGGGAAGCCCTTCGTGGGCCTACTTGGGCAGTCTCGTGGGCCCCTCTTCGAGGGGCTGCGTTTCGCGGGCGCCTGGCGGAACGGGAGGCCCTCCGAAACTGGGGGACTTCTCCCCCCCCTCCCCTCGAACAGAAATATTTCTCCCCCCCCCCTCCCGACACGGGGGACTCCGCCCCCCGAAACCCCTTCCTTTCTTGCCCCCCCCCACCCGGCAATGGGGACGTAGGTGTTTGGGACCTCCGCACGTTGCTTGGGGCTTGTCCCGCCAGCAAACGATGACGACGTCGACGTCCACGTCGACGCCCACCTCGACGACGAATATAACGACGACGCCGCCGACCGCGACGACGACCGACGTCGACGACCGACGTCATGACGACGACGACCAACGACGACGACGATAACATCAATGACGACAACGACAGCGACGCCGACGCCGACGCCCACGACGATGATGGTGATGCCGATCTCGACAACGATGACGACGACGAAGCCGACGATGACGGCCGATGACAACGACCGACGACGACAACAACATCTACGAGGACGACTGGACCGACGGCGACTACGACGACCGAAGACGACGGCCGACGACGACGATGACGACGACGACGACGACGGTGACGACGACTACGACGACGTCTGAGACGACTGGGACGACTGAGACGACTGAGACGACTCGACTTCACGACACCGACGGTCAACGATGATGACCACGACGTACACGGCGACCACGCCGACGAGCACGATGACGACCTCGACGACGCATTCGACGACGACGGCGACGACGACGGCGACGACGAATTCGACGACGAATTCGACGAAGATGATGACGCGCTCGGGACACTAAAGACGTCATGCGATGGAGCGTTCGGATTCCAACGGTCTGGTCGGGCGGGCGGGCCCTCGCGGGCGGGGTCGGGCGGTTGCCTGAACACCCGCCTGCCTGCTCCAACGTCCTGCCCGCCGCCCCTCGCCAAGCAGGGCCCGCCCGCTTGAGCCGCCAGCCGCCCGTTGGGGTCCGCTCTCCCGCCCCGCCCGCCTGCTGACATGACGTCCGAGGCGGGAATTTACACATGACCACCGCCTGGAGGGTCAATTTTCGGAGCCTCGGCAGGCGGTGGATATGGACATATTCGGGCCCCCGGGGGCCGAAATATATCCATATCCACCGCCCGCCGGGGCACCAGGACGTCGGGTCCCAGGCGGTGGATATAGATGAATCCCAGCCTCGCGCATGAAGCCCGTCCGCTTTATTGTCCCGCCCGCTCTCCTCGCCAATCAGGGTCCGCCCGCCTGAGCCGCGCTTGAGGTTCCGTCCGCCCGACCCGCCCGATGGGTCCGACCGCCCGCTTGCATGCAAGGGAGGAGGACACGCAGACCTGATAGTCTCAGTGGCCAACCAACACTAACCAGGGAGCCACGATATTCAAATAGCGGCTACCCTAGCCGCGGGGTGCGCCACCGCGTAAGGGACTACCCGTTCGCGGGTGACACCCTGCTTTGACGTTTTTCAAGGCTGTGCAGCGCTGACGGCTAATTTGCCCGGCGAAAGAGCCATCACAGGAGTCCATCAAGATTGGCGATTGCCGGGTGGATGCTGATCCACCGCAGTTAATGTCAGTTTGTGACAGGGCTGGACCTAAACGGTGTTTTTGGCGATTTCGTGGGCCGTTTTCGTTTCGACTTCGTTTTGCGGTAAAGGCGGATTGAAGGCAAAACAAGGGAAATCGAAACTTATCCCAGAGCGACCCTACCTAGGAGTTGGAGCCCCGAGGAGAGCAATATTAGTAGTAACGGTAAACGCCGTCCTCCTCCTTCTCCTCATCGTCGCAGTCGTAGCAGTAGCGGTAGTAGTAGTAGTAGTAGTAGTAGTAGTAGTAGTAGTAGTAGTAGTAGTAGTAGTAGTAGTAGTAGTAGTAGTAGTAGTAGTAGTAGTAGTAGTAGTAGTAGTAGTAGTAGTAGTAGTAGTAGTAGTAGTAGTAGTAGTAGTAGTAGTAGTAGTAGTAGTAGCAGTAGTAGTAGTAGTAGTAGTAGTAGTAGTAGTAGTAGTAGTAGTAATAGGAATAGTACAGTTTAATACCTACATCTACATCTAGACCTACATCCACATCTACACCTACAGCTACATCTACATGTACACATGCATTTACACCTACATTTACATCTACAACTACACTCACATCTACATCTACATATACACCTACGTCTACAGCTACATGTACATCTACATCTACATCTACACCTGCTTGTCTTGCGTTGCTTGTGCTTTGCTTTGCTGTTGCCGCTGTTGCTTTGCCTTTGCTTTGATGCTATGCTATGTTATGTTATGCTATGCTATGCTATGCTATGCTGCGCTATGCTATGCAATGCTATGATTTGCCGCGCTATGCCGCGCTATGCTGCGACATGCCATGCTATGCTATGCTAGGGTATGCTAGGCTGCGCTATGTTATGCTAGACTATGCTATGCTATGCTATGCTGCGCTATGCTATGCTATGCTATGCTGCGCTATGCTATGCTATGCTATGCTGCGCTATGCTATGCTATGCTAGGTTATGATATGATCTGCTATGCTGCGCTATGCTATGTTATGCTATGCTGCGCCATGCTATGCTATGCTATGCTATGCTATGCTGCGATATGCTATGCTATGTTATGCTATGCTATGCTATGCTATGCGGCGCTGTGCTATGCTAAACCAAGATGTACTATGCTATACTATGCTATGCTATGCTATACTGCACTATGCTATGCTACACTATGCTATGCTATGCTATGCTATGTTGCGCTATGCTATGCTGCGCTATGCTATGCTATGCTATGCTATGTTATGCTATACTATGATATGCTATGCTATGCTATGCTATGCTATGCTAATGCTGCGCTAAGCTAAGCTAAGCCGAGCTAAGCTAAGCTAAGCTAAACTAGGCGAGGCTAAGCTACGCTAAGCTAAGCTAGGCTAAGCTAAGCTAAGTTAAGCTAGGCTAAGCTAAGATGAGATAAGCAACGCTAAGCTAAGGGGAGGTCACTGGGGGAACCACGGGGCGGATCCTGGGGGAACCGCCCGGGGCGGTTTGCACTGCCCGGCCCCTTAAGCTTGCACGGTAAGAACCCTTCTAGGCAGAGCCTAGGTAGGGAACATAACGAACACGAAAATCACCGTTTAGGTTCAGCCCTGGTTTGTGATTAAAAACTGATGCCCCACCCCTGGGGCTGATTAACAGACCCCGCAGGGCGCGACACATTTTTGAAATCACGCGCGCCAGGGGGTCGTCGCGGGCGCCGCCGAGGGCATCGCGGGTTTCCTTATAGAAGTCGTTATAGGGATCGTCTACATCCGAGGCGAAGTTTTTACCTCCCTCAGGCTGGTTACTGGCGTGCCACAGTCGTCGTCGTCGTCTTCGTCGTCGTCGTCGTCGTCGTCGTCGCCGTCGTCGTCGTCGTCGTCGTCGTCGTCGTCGTCCTCGGCCTCAGCCTCGCCATCGTCGTCGTCGTCGTTGGTCGGTCGGCGTCGTCGTCCTCGTCTCCGTCGTCGTCGCTGTCGCCGTCGCCGTCGCCGTCGTCGTCGTCGTCGTCGTCGTCGTCGATGTCGTCGTCGTCATTGGTCGCGTCGTCGTCGTCGTTGGCGACGACCTCGGCGTCGACGTCGACGACAGCGGGCCTACGCAACACTCCCCCCATGAGGCATCCCAAGTGAGTCGTCGTCGTCGTCGTCGTCGTCGTCGTTCTTGTTGTCGTCGTCATCGGTCGCGTCGTCGTCGTCGTTGTCGTCGTCGTCGTCGTCGTCGTCGTCGTCGTCGTCGTCGTCGTCATCGTCGTCGTCGTCGTCGTCGAGGTCGACGTCGACGCCGACGTCGACGTCGACGTCGACGTCGACGACAGCGGGCTTACGCAGCCCCCCCCCATGGGGCATCCGAGGTGTGTCGTCGTCGCCGTTGTCGAGGTCGACGTCGACAGCTAATTCGGGCATGCGCAACACACCCGCCCCCCCCCCCCTCTGGAGCATCCGCAGTGCGTCGTCGTCCGCCGTCGCCGTCGCCGTCGCCGTCGCTGTAGTCGTCGTCGTCGTCGTCGTCGCCGTCGTCGTTGTCGTCGTTGTCGTCGTCGCCGTCGTCGTACGACATATACTGTATTGGAGGGGTGGGGGGTGGGGGGTGGTGAAGGAGAAGGAGGAGCCTTTTCCGCCTGCCTCTGTCGCTCATCCCCCCTCTTCCCTCTCATCCTTGCAGCGATGGAGGCATCGCTCGCCAGCTGAGGCGCCTTTTCCCCCCGCATCCTCTTTCCCTGCTGCCTGTAGCAATCTTGGCTTAAGCGCCCCGCTGCAGCGGAGGCGCTGCTGCCCCCCTCCGCTGACGCCGCTTGCGTCGCGCCTGTCGTCCTCTCG